AAATAAAATTATTGTTGTCACTTTTTCAAGACATTCTTATATAGCATCACTTAAGGATTCAGAAGCTTTTCGAATTTTGAATTTGCATCATTACTTTAAAATAATGTTTCTTATCTATCAGGTTCTGCACATTTCACTCTGCTATTTAGCCAAAACTATGCAAACCATTTTTACCTATATCCTCACACAAAAGTATTCAGTATATTTGTATAGAAATTATTTGAATTTCCATGTAAAAAATGTGACAAAGCATATATAAACTAACTAAAATATAATAATTCATACCATACAAATATGATTTTCTGAACAGATGTGCATACAAGGAAATGGCATGAAATCTTGTGTACAAAGAAAATAGTAGCCTTACCTACCACAAAAACACTCTTACCTACATACATATATGTAATTATTTTTTTTTACTAATCAGTCTTAACCCAATGCCAATGGGTATGACGTTTATGTACGTGCCATGCCCACTGCGAGTTACTTGTTTAATTGTTTTTACAAATAGATGGCTACACTTGTCACTAATGAGCCAATTACGAGTACTGCCTGTTTCACCCGTTTACCCTTTTCTTTGATTTACAAAAATATTTTACGTTATCTTATTTTGCTGTTACTAATATTTAGAACATTATAGTGTTGTGATGTATTATAATGTTTATAGTAAAAATAACAGCATCGATATTCATAGCACTAGTAAAAAATAATTTTTTCCTGCCAATTCAAATCGGGTAAGGTCACAAGATCTACTAATGGACTCCTTTGTGGCTAAGCACTAGCAGAACAATCTGCTGAGACATTTCACAAAAAATATAAAAAAGAGCACGGCATTTTCCCCATTTTTTATTCATTTTCCCTGGAAGTATTGAGTAAAAAAAGGAAAAAATCCTTCTGTTTCTTTTTTTTTTTACCAATATTCTTGCATCTAATACTACCAAGAGAAACTAAAATAGATGAGTAAGAAAAAAATAATAATAAATAAATAAATAAATAAAATAAAAATAAAAATAAAAATAAAAAAGATGGATAAAGAAAATTATATTCCATGCACAGGTGTGCACTGCATACAAATATTCTTACATCCACAAGGATATCAGCACTGTGATACAAGTTCAGGAAGGAGTTTGACTGTCTGGCTGTAACAGACCAGATTGCTCGCCATCCAGCTGGTTCTATACTTCCTTCCACATAATGCACTAAAACTCTCTCCACTTTATCTGCAGGTGCCCCTGAAAGAGAAATGTTAATTTTATGAAAAATAATAAGATTTACATCATAGCTATGTATTCTTATGAAGATAATTAGCAAATCTGAGTCTGACGATAATCAAGTGGACAGTACCATACTGAAATTTTACATGGTATTTTGAATGAATCAGAGAAATACAAAGCTATGCTCTGATTTATGAAATGAGTTAGTAATTTTGAAAAATGCCAGTGTAATGAACAAGACAATAAGCATATGAACACATATGAATCTGTAAAATAACCCAATGCTGATAAACAAGGACTTTATTGCTTGTGAATGTTCCAGGTAAAATGCATAGTATGTACGAAAAGTAACTTATAAAAAAAAATACATATAATCCTCTGTCCAATACAAAGAAACAGAAACTCATTGGAAAATTATCTTAAAAAAGCTACGTTCCCACAAAAAAACCTGCAATTCACATTCATCATTAGAGTAAAGTGAAGTAGGACAAGAAAAAAAAATACAGCATGATCAAAATAGACAAAGTGTGGAAAACATGCAAAAAAGAATGGTATATTAATGCACTTACAACAGAATAAATATAATCAAGAAAAAAAAAAAGAGTTTGGACATCAATCAAGAAGAAAGCCAATTTGAAAATGCATGGTGTTCATTCCTGTGTTAAAAGTAATGAATGAGGTTCTGGCATTGCCACTATACATTACATTTAAACTGGGTAATTGCACAACAAAAAGTATACAAGTTTGATTTTCCACAGCCATGTAGTACAAGATCAGATTTGTCTCTAATAGACAGAATGACTGGAAATATAACACGTTTCTTCTATGGTAGTATTACCATTACCTTCACAAGAAAGTTGTGCAACACGAAATATCTTGGTATACATTTACAGGAAAAATGTTTGGGCAATTTAATAATCAAAGAGGAGAACTACACTCACTTATACATGCAATAATCTGTGTAAGCAAAATTTAACCACTGAAATCAAGAAAATAGGTTGTGACAAAGCCATGCTGAGAACAATTCCACTGCAATCAAGTGAGGGTCCAGGGGCAAACCCCAATAAGGAAGGTAAAATTTGTCTGTAATGGATAGACTGACTATGGTGTTACCTTCGCATGTAATACTTTGGTATACAATTACATGAAAATGTAATGGCACTTTAATAATCAAAGAGAAAAACTACAATCCCTAATCCATGAAATAATCTGTGTAGGCAAACTATATCCTTAGAAGTGAAGAAAATAGGTCACTGCATATGTGGAGAGCAATTCTAGAGTGACTGGATGGGAGTCTGTTATGTTATGAAGGTTTTTTGATTCATATGGCATTGTGTGTTGATTTCCACAGGAATAGCTGGAGTAATAGGGACTTCACCTCAGAGGGGTAAGGTCATTTCATAAACATTAACAATACTTTCTTTTTATCATTTGCAATGGAAAATAACAAGAGATTCATGCATATTAGAGCACTGATAATTGAAAGACAGAATAATAATTGCAAGATTGGATGATTGTGTGAAGCCAAAAAATCACCAAAACTAATATTATTGACATGCAGAAAGTATAAAGTACTGAAAAATGTTGCAATAGAAATCCTTGTTCATTGTGGTGTTATATTGAGGTTTACAAAAGAAATCCTTGTTCATTGTGGTGTTATACTGAAGTTTCATATCTTGACAACAGTATGTTGTAAAGCAATAGTAGCTGCCTTTATGCCTCCAGCTCCCTAGCAAAAATTATCAATCAAACCAGACTCTGGCAAGGCACAGTCTGGACTAGCTCCTTATTTGATGGCACACCACAATTAAACTTTATCATGCTTTTCACCAGTGATGAAAGGGATGGAAATCTTTGTAATTTTATGTCTCTTGTGTATTGAATAAGCCTATCTGCATGATGTGTAAAGAAAACAACCATAAACATCAATAATATTTTGAGATATTGACCTTGCAATTTTCTGAATCTACTTTAATTTAATTTCTAAATCTTCACCTCCAAAAATACTGATAAGTATTCAGAGAAAAATCTGAGCTTTCCAATGGTGATGCCAAAATCTACATAAAGTAAAGTCTCATTGACTTATTCTATACAGATGCTCTAAATATATGGTTTCAAGAAAAAAGAGAAAGCAACTTTTTAGGTTAATTTTATACACTTAATTATCTAATTACCATAACAACTTCATTCAATTCTTTTCCTTTGGAAGTGTTGTTTGTTGCACAAATATATGCTAATTGGTTTACCAACTATCAAAAAATGTAAATATCCTTCCTAACCTAGGGGTTTCCCCCATATCTCTTCCCTATCACTGCATTTTCCTAGCTGGGAGACTCCCACCCAATCATCTTGAACACAGACTTTGTAAAACCTATTTTCTTAATTTTTGACATTATTCTTTGCCTGCATATATTATTTCTCTGGGCCGGATCCAGGGGGGGGGGCCTATTTTTGGCAGAGTAATGATTTTTTTAGACCAGGAATTTTTTACACATCATCAGGGAAAGACGTGGGATATAGGTAGGAAAAGTCCCAGTCAGCAATAGAAGGGATACTTGATAGAAACTTTCTATCCCGCTTAGGCTTCGTGCCTTCGGCACTCGCAATCGTCTCAGCTAGGGGTTGCGCCCCCCTTTCTAACAATCCTGGATCCGGCCCTGTTTCTCGTATCGTTGTGTAGTTCTTAATTGTCTTTTTGACAATGTAATTTAATTTTCTTTATATTAGTCATTCTGTAAATATATACCAATTGTATATTGCTTGAGAGCCAACGCATACTGAAGCAGCAGTAACTAATGTGTAGTTGCTAGATGAGCATGTAAGAGGCATGGGTAGCAATATGATTTACCAGTTATTTATTACTATCAAAATAATAACAATTCACTGCAGAGGATCCTTCATTAAACTCACCTTGTAAAATATAAGTTAACTCATTGATATGATCATCTGGCATCCAGGTCACAGTAAAAACCTCTGGAGTCTCCGTTTCCTCTTGGTCTGTGACTTTTGTACTTCCTGCTGTTTTACTTAAACCACACACCTGCTCTGGGCTTGTATCTGCCATGCTGTCTCCTTTCTGAAGCAAACAAATAATAAATATTAACCTGAACACCTAAATTCAGGTTGAAAAAAATATGTTTTAATACAACAGGAATGCGTATTTATTTCACATTTATAACCACTTCTAACTTACATGGGCATTAGAGTATATAATTGGTTTCAATTTAGTATATTTTTATATGTGTTAATTTTCAGTTGAACACTCACTACTTGTAAACTTTGAAAGAGTATTTTCATTTTTGCTGGCATAACATCCGAATAACACTTAAAAACAAAGAATTAGTCTCATTATTCACAGATTATATAACAAAATTTTCTTCTCTGTATACCAACGAGTTAATCAGTTAACATTTACTTACCCCCAAAAATGCGGAAAAAAATAAACAGACGGTTTCTAAAGGCGAGACTTGCAAATCAAAATCAAAAGTACGAGCCAACTGCTCAGGGGGTACAGGATTATCTCTTACTTTCGTATTTCCCTATAGTGGTTCGAACGTATACATTTGTTATACCCACTGTTTGAAGATATTTACGAAATGTAGCCAGTATGCTTCATTATCACTGCAAACAGGATATTAGCGATATGTTTAAAGTATTTTCGTAATCCCGTAGCCCACTATCGGTGTAGGAAATATGTAAAATTAATTTGAATATCACAGACAACGGGTGGATATATTTGAGCATGTCACAACATTAGCACTTTGTGTTCGTAAAGTGACAAATCTATAACAGCTAAAGCTGAACCGTTTTATACATCTGACCATAACATATACGCGCGTGTACACACACATATACATGTATATAAACATTTGTATGCACATGTATATGTATATGTATATGTATATGTATATATATATATATATATATATATATATATATATATATATATATATATATATATATATACATACACACACACACACACACACACACACATATATATATATATATATATATATATATATATATATATATATATATATATATATATACATACATACGCACACACGCACACACACACACACACACACACACACACACACACACACACACACACACACACACACACACACACATATATATATATATATATATATATATATAAATACATACGCACACACGCACACACACACATATACACGTGTGTGTGTGTGTCGTAAAGTGAAAAACCTATAACAGCTAAAGCTGTACTGTTTCATACATCTGACCATAACATAATATACATAATACATAATACATAAATAAATACATACTATAATATATAATCATATGGCCTGACAGTAAAGTGACCTAAATCATATAGTGAGTACGCGGCGTATGTGACCCGTTGTGTGTGGCTGTGTATTTACACAGGCAAGTCAGGTCGGGCTCTCTGTGTACGGGGAATGACCCCGCCTACAAATGGGACAATGGCCACAGACCAGCCCATGGAAAGGGAGGGCAGGTATAAAGTCCTCCGTGAGCCTGATATTGATGGCGGGCCTCACCATCAAACAAAGAGAAATCGAAACAGAAATGGCATCGCACAATGAACGCGTTATACAAGCCAAATGCATGAAAGTGAAAGGATTGGTGACCCAGTGAGTCATCATAACGTATGAGGGGGAGGTACACCCTTTAGGTGTGCCATCTTCAAATCTCTAACTCCGTTTTGCTCCAACTGTTCAAAGTGGGGACACGGAGCACGTATTTGTCCGCGAGACGCACCGCGATGCTGATACTGCGCTTTTCCTCACGATAGCTCAGAATGCGCAGAAAAGAATTCTGAAGACAAAATTATCCCTCGTCACTGTCGTCAGGAGCATAATGCTTACTATCCAAAGGATAGGCACATAATCATCCATAAAAAGCAGGCAGCCCCTCCCCTCCAGCCGCTCGTTTTAATGATGTGGGGGAATTCCCCGCACCTGCAGAGTTCAACAGTGATGGGCCCTGCAAAAAGAGCCATGGCACCGACTAAGCACCAGCACCAACAGAAGTTAATGCCCCATCAACTCCAGCACCAGCTCCAGCACTTACCCCAGTACCAACTCCAGCTCACTGCAGCAGGGCAAGCAAGAGTACAACAGTGAATTGACGGATCTGCTACAGATACTGCTCAGGCAGATGGAGCAGATGACGTTCATCCTTTCCTGGAACTGGGATTGCTAAACCATCTATTGCTAGGTGGTTTAGCAATCCTAGTTCCATGAAAGGATGATTGTGTTCCTCCTCGAGCAATAGCAGCCTCAACCTGCAGTGGGCCTATAGTGTATTATATCGGTATTATATGCCTGTGTGGCGCCCACGTGGATGACACGTAGCGCCCACACTAGACAACCCAAGTGGCGTGCCCCAACGGATGGGCGGTCCTCCTTGCCCCCCCTCCAAGCCTGGCGCCGTTGAGGTGGGCTCACCGGTGACCCCAAGTGACCAGCCCATAACCCAAGACTGTCATCGTTGTGTTTATTCACTGTGTGCTGAACTCTTATCAATAAAGGGTTTTTAAGCCACTAAGCTTTTACTACTCCCTGTCACCAATGTTTAGAAGTTCCCTTATATATAACTATTACAAGTGGTGATAGCGGTGGTAGTTGTGTCCTTTTGGCACACAACCGAACAAGTTCCTTCGAAGAAAAACCGCTCGGCTTCGACAACGCAAGATGGCATCTTCAAACCGTGAGTACACATTTATGGGCCCCTTTCTCTTTTCATTTCTTTTCTATTTTTTCCTAAATGTGTTAGGCCATGTACAGCCAGCTCACGTTAGGTTTTTGAGTTAAAAGTGCTAAGTATAGCAATGGCATACTCTCATTTCTCATTCTCTAACCTCACTTCTCATTACTGTCAATTGCGGCATGGAGTTAAACATTATGAAATCGTTCATTTATTAAGCGTCTATTTAATTTATTTCTTGATTAAAATATTTTGTTCAATTGTATAGAATTTAGCAAGTTCGTGAATTTATTCTTTCACGAATATGCACTCATTAAATTCTTCTCTCTCCATTTCCTGTTTTGACCTGATCTCATGTGAAAGTCATTAAGTCAGCCTGCCTAGACAGCTGGTAACTGACCTGACTTGACCTTGAGTGATTGTCACAGTGATATGGCTGAGAAAACAGCTTGTCATTTCCTTTTAATTGTTTGAACTAGTTGTCACAATATAGGGTTAATGCTAGCAACCATTACATGTTCATGGTGACAAGTTCTATCGGCGCTAGAACGGAACTTGTAACGCGACACGTATAATTGAATATAACGTCAAGAGATATCCTTATACATAGTGTCAGAGTGTCTGAAATATTTGAGGTTGCATTTTTATGCGTAATGTGCTCGGCGTCTCCGGCAGATGATGGTAAGTTAAAGTAACTGAAGTAAATCATACGTTCGGCAAACTTTGAGCCAGGGTGACCACAATTATGTCCATTAATTTAGGACTAGGATTTAAGTCTGATTTAGGATCCACTTAATTAATCACAACCCGCTCACACTTTTATATGTCGCCGTCATGTTGGGTAGATCCCATCGGTTTTGTGATTCATGATAAATAACCGTAGGGCATTTCATGAGCGCCCATCATAGATCCGCAGATAGAGTGGGTAATTTATAAATTTTCCCAGCTCGTTTAAGCTTCATAAAATACGCAATTTTTGGGGACGTTCCCTCCGTCAAATGAAGTCTGTATGACCGGTAAGACATACTTACTTCCTCGGGAAAATTCCCGAGAAGATTTGCTCGCGAAAAGGCTTGCGAATAATTTTCACGTCACCATTCATTAATGCGTCATTTTGTTGCATATCATTAAATGTTAAATTCAATGTGGTACTTGAAATAATTTTGAATTATGTCTATAAATAATTAGTCGCATTATTGTTAATATGAACTTTATTCAGCGTATTGGCAACGCTGCTGCTATAGGAGGTCACTCAATCACTGTCACTCAAACATGCACACATACTCACTCACTCACTGATGCAGACCAAAGACACTGAAACCTTCATTAATAGGATTTGCTGCTGTCTTAGTTGCAGGTATACGTATTTGTTTGCCGCAATATTGTTAGTCGTGATGCGTGACTTGTACATGATTTCGTATATACATACTTTCGTTTCTGTTTCGACATTTGGTTCAAGTAAATCTTTGCAGATTGCCAATTGTCTTTTACTTTACTTTATTCTCGTATCTATCAGAGACGGTTTTGGTAGTTCAGGCTAGGTCCTTGCGGATTGCTACCAACGTCTCCCTCTTCTATTTTCCTCTGTTAACTTAACTTTGTGACCAAAACACAAAAAGAAAAAAAAAAGACGAAAATAACGAAAATTCAACTTTAAAAACTGCAAATTATGAAACAAAAAAATCGGCTTGTAGCATTTAACACCTCTTCTCTCTAGAAAGTTTCTATCAATTATCCCCTCTATTGCTGACTGGGACTTTTCCTACCTATATCCCACATCTTTCCCTGATGATGTGTAAAAAATTCCTGATGTGTAAAAAAATTCTTTTCACTATCTGGCCCATTATGTGTTATTCTGGTTCCCGATATCTGAAACGGCACCGAAGGAGGCCCTGCTGCAGAAACGGTCACCTTCGGAAGCCATTAGAAAACAACATCGGAGATCGCCGCTCGCCAGGACACCCGAGAACCAGCGAAAACAGGAGCTCGCCTGTAGAGGTTCGCCGTCCTATGATGCTGTGGACGGGCCTGCCTGGATGCCGCAAACCCAGTCAAACTCCAGGAGCTCATTAGTGCAGGTATCAGCCGCCCTACGATGTTGAAGAGGACGCTTCCTGCCGGACGCCCGTAGATCCTGACGAAGATTACGAGGACGTCTGTACGAGCGCGCAGCCGAGAAGGACCTGGACGGAGATCTGCGAGACGTGCATTGGGCGAATAAGCCGCCGAGTTTGACCAGTACGCGGACTACGAGGATGTCTGGGCGAGGACCTGCATGAGACCAGTCGAGGACGTGAGGATGTCGAGGACGAACGGATTACCAGGGACCAGAGCGAGGATGACGACACAGAACGAGCAGCCACGGAGATGCACCAAGGATACCACACCCGAGATCAAGGACGAGCAAGTTGGAACCAGCCAGGTTGGGTCACCCTTGAGGAAGTCTAGATCGCTTCGAGGACGAGCCGTGAGTAGGTGGCCGAGCAATATAGTGTATTATATCGGTATTATATGCCCGCGAGGCGCCCACGTGGATGACACGTGGCGCCCACACTAGGCAACCCAAGCGGCGTGCCCCAACGGATGGGCGGTCCTCTTTGCCCCCCACCAAGCCAGTGTCTCGGATACTTAAGGCCGCGTTTTGACCCGGTCAAGAGAGAGTTTGACCCGGCGCGGTCAAGGTCACTGGGCCGGTCTGCCGTTGAGGTGGGCTCACCGGTGACCCCAAGTGACCAGCCCATAACCCAAGACTGTCATCGTTGTGTTTATTCACTGTGTGCTGAACTCTTATCAA